ATGCTTGATGATACAGATAATCGTCATGAATTTTAAATATACGAAATAATATCGATGAAAAATGTAAAAGTTTTTCTATGGAAAACGATATTTTTACTCCGCTCTAAATTTATTACTTAGTTGGCAGAATGCCATCATTAAAATGGGTTGAAGTGAAGACCTCCCAAAAGTTAAACAAGTTTAGTAATTGCACCTCCTTCTTAGAAGAGACAGTTTCAGTACGAACAACAAATGACGCTCTCAGTTAAACATCATTACTTACCTTTTTTAATGTTTTACAATGCTATTTTGGACTTATTTCAGAAGCGCAGTGATCCTTTCTTTTCAATTTTTTTAAATCACTAATTTCTATTATACTGTAGAGTTTAACGTGTTCGGGTATCATCTAAAGTGGTAGACGTTAAGCGACTTATAGCCAAGTCTAAATAACAAGTGAAACTTGGAAAGGCTATAAAAAGACCCTTTACTTAAAACTAAATAAGATAAACAGAAGACACTCCTGGTGCCTACAACTCCGCCAGCATTTCTGGCGAGAAACTTAAAAGCAGTAAGTCATATGTAAAGCTTAAATTTAAATAAACTAATACCCAAAGGCTACACGGAGCAATTTAACGCGAAGTTGGCTCAAAACTTCACCGTAGAATTCATCGGCAATTATAATGCAAGGCTGGAGACCAGAACTCTTATCTATAACAGCAACCTAGTAACGTAGCCTCAAGAGTCATAACACGCTCTTACAATTTCAAAACTTCACTTTAAACACACAAGAACGAAATTTCCATTTCGGCTTGAAAACGAATAGGGGGGAAGCAACAATACAGATCCGAAACGTAAAATAATTGGTTAATAAAATTAAAGGATCCTCGCAGCACTATTGCTGAGCTATGAAATATTTATATACAAACATAGCAAAAGGGGAGGCGGCTTTACTTCCTGTAAACGGTTTGAGTTTTTACCTTTCGCGCGCGCGCTAAAAGCAAATTTGAGAAACACGAACTATTTACATTACTAATAGGCATATACTTTATTGTTTTCGACTAGTATTTCAATGAATTTCTGCGATTACCTTTTAGCTTTTTAACTAGACTGAATCCTAGCGAAAAACGTAAGCAGTTACAAATTAGTTCCTGCAGGTCCTAAAACCCTAAAATCGCTATATAAAGTTTAAACTTTCAAAGGCAAAAAAACTCTTTCCTGACCAGCACATTTTCGAACATATTGAATATTAACTACCAGAAAGCCCACGATTATCTAATGAATAGAATAAACAAACGTGTGAAACTCGCTGCGGAATGGAAATTGTATGGAAATGTGAATGGGAGAACTAAAAAGTAGGGAATAAATCTAAGTTGGTTGTATATACATTTTGAGAATTATCTATAAAATTAATCGAAATTAAATCATATATAAATAATATTAAATAAACATTAATCAAAAGCGGATCAATTATTTTATTGTTTTATTTTACAACATAGCTCAAGCTTTGCGCAACAATGAGCAGTAAAGGTAACAAAATAAATCAGCTAATGAAATTAATCAAAAATTTCAAATAGGGAAAACTCTTCTCTTTCACATTGCGGGAAGATAGGAGCGAAGTAGGTTTTCCTTTATCCTTGTAAGATCAGTTGAGTGCATCCAAACCGCATACAAATTTTATCCCATAGCCTTTTCTAGTATAAGGCATTATGATGTGTGAAATGAAACCTAACATATGGAAATAGGGGAAAGCAGTTTTTCTCTTCATAATTGATTTACTTGAAGCAGAACCTCATAAGAAAACAAGTATAGTGAAAGCTGTAATGGCAAACAAATTCCGTAAACAACAATCGCTGAACAATCGCTGAACCAATATTTCTAAGAACATAAATAAGTTCCAGAGTTGATAATTGTAATATTTTTCTCTAGAATTACTGGTCTCCCGACTGAGAGCATCAAATTTTTATTAAATAGACCACAAATATATAATTTATAGCTATTATACTAAATGAATATCCTTTAGATTTAACTAATGCTTGTTTCTTATTAACGTATTTTATCTACTAAACAAGTCTACAAAGAGTTAAATTTCATCTCAACTTCGTCATATGAAAACAATTATTTTTTACAGAAAATCGAAATTAAATCATTTCTCAATTATTAATTTTTATCTTTTTTCAGCACACCATCACCATTTTGTACCATTGGTATACATTCTTGATTCCGTGTTCGTGACGCGACACCCTTTCAATGTGTCATCATATTTTCATATTATGCGTAGTATTTCCTTCCATTTTACATCTATGCAACTGCTAAAATACAGTAAGTCACGTTCGCGCGGTGCCCATGTTAGCTGACGATATCATTAACGTTTTTTATTTATTTATTTATTTATTTTTCAACCAGAGCCTAATTTCTAAAATCAGAAGTGCCAAAGCCCTCTGGAAGGTCATCAGGAAGAAGGGGAAAAATAAATAAATAAAATAAGTAATAATTAAAACAACTAGATTTTAATTTAAATTCAATAAATATAAAGATTTAAATAAAAATTTAATAAAGTATTAATTATAAATAGTTAAATAAAAGAAATAAAATATCGGACCTTGTTTTATTTGGGGCTCCGATTGGACTTATAATTTCAAACAGACATAGCGA